GGGGGGAGGGCTGGGCGGGGAGAGAGTGCAGCAATGAATGAATGGAAATCCAAAATCTCTGTAAATGCTCATTAAAGTTATTTAAAAAAATAAGGCTTAAAAAATATGCACAATGAATGTTCAGTGCACTGGTCCCCAATATTTTACCTTCCAAATGATGTTTTATCCCCAAATATTTAGACAGATTCTAACTCTGCCCAGATTCAACTCACTACCCATTTGAGTTGATTCCGAGTTGTAGTGACCCTCCATTAGGTTTCAAGCAAGGCTGTAAATCTTTATAGAGGAATCTTCTCATTCTTCTCCCATGGAACAGCTAGTGGGTTTGAATCACTGTAGACAGTGGGCCTTTTGGAAAGCAGTCCAACACACTACTGACTATTCAACCAGAGAAAGATTAATAAAATTACATTAAGTAAACTATTCGCTAATTCAATCAATCTTGAAATGTTAAGCAATTTTTAATAAATATGAAACAGGAAACTTCACTATCATAACATGAAACAGTATAAAGAAATCTTAGAGCCATTGCCCTAATGGGTTTTGAGTTTCTATAAAATATTCCAGCTAATCACAGAACCCAAAGATATACAAGGGTGTGGGAGGACTGAACATAGGAGAAATAATGTCAGAAATGATAGGATGGTACAATAGTCTGGACATTATAAAACTATTCGTGTAATGATTACAAAAGAAATTATGCATCCAATGCTCATCATAAAGACTGAATAAATCTGATTAATGAATACCAAAAAAGAAATGTTAATCTTGTGAAATAAAATTATAAATTTTTCTTTCTGAAAACAGAGAGTTCTTATCTTGACCCACAACACTAAAAATTTTCTTATTCGATGTCAAAAACACAAATTTTCAGCACTGGACCAATAGAAAAAAATCGTAATAGTTGGAGAAAAGATTGAAGCCGTCAATGACTACATCTTATGTGGATCCACAATCAATACACTTGGTACCAGCAGTCAGGAGATCAGAAACTATACTGCACTAGGAAATTCTGCAGTCAGAACCTCTCCAAATTATTGAGGAGCAATAATGTTAGTTTGAGGACTAAGGTGTGTTCAATTCAGACCATGGTCTTTTCAGTCACTTGCTATACCGTGGAGAGCTGGACAATGAATAAGGATGACAGAAGGAAAATTTATGCCTTTGAGCTGTGGTGTTGTAGAAGAGTACTGAATATTCCATGGACTGCCAAAAGAAAAAATAGACATGTCTAGGAGAAGGTGCAACCAGAGTGGTCCTTCTAGGCAAGGATGATAAAGCTTCATTTCACATACTTTGAGCGTGTTGCTAGGAAATGCAACTCCTTAGAGAAGGATATCATACTTGGAAAGGTGAAGGGATGGCGAAAGAGAGGAAGATTCTCAACCAGGTGAGTTAAAACAGTGACTACAGCAATCAGCTTAAGCATGTCAGAGATTGTGAGGTTGGCACAAGATAGGGTCGCTATGAGTTGCACTCAACTCAATAGCCCCTAACAAGAACAATTAACTGTAGAAACCTGCATTTAATAAGGTGATAGTGCTGTTTGGTGCAGCTGAGCCAATTACAACTCATAGTGACTCTATGAACAACAGATTGGAACCTTGTACACTATTCTATACCATCTTCATTATCTCTGTCATGTTCAAGCCATTGCTAAGATGAGACCTGAATATTTAAAACTTGGATGAAACAGAACGGTAACCCAACTTGTATAACTTTCATCCTTTCTCTAGGTTCATAGAGTTTCCGGAGGCAAGCTATTTCGGAAGTGGATGCCACTCCTGCTGCCAAGCTTGTTTTAATCAGGGAGCTCCATCAAACACCGTCCACATGGGTAACCATTCTTGCATTTGACACACCAGTGTCAATATAGATCCTATTTCCAAAATGCCAGAAGCTTTAAACCATGGCTTTTTAATCTTCTGATTGTCTTAGAAAGCTCCAATAATGTTTGAGCACATATAGCTCTTTTATAAGATTTATGTATTCTGACAATTATCAACCAATGAAAATATTTTGTTCAAAATTACATCTGTTGCTGTTGTTAGTGCTGTCACGTTAATTCCAGTTTATATGGATCCTCCTTAAAACAGAGCAAAGCTCTCCTTTGTCTCCTGTCATCCTCACAAACAGTCTTAGGTATGTTTGAGCCCATTGTTGCAACCATGGTGTCACTCCATCTGAAGAGTTTCCTCTTTTATTGATGATTCTTTACTAAGTATAAGGCCACACCCTACAGCTTGGTGTTGCCTAATAACATATCTGGAGTTTGTGAGATGACTTCTAAGGAGTATTCTGGCTATACTTCTTTAAAGATAGATTTGTTGTTTTTCTGGCAAAATAATATCTCATTCAATATTGGAGGAAGAAGGTGGGTGAACTTTTCTAGATCTCTTTCTGCTAGATATATAAAATTTCAAAACCCACTGCTGTGGAGTGGGTCTTAACTTCTAGACATCCTCCATGGGGTTTCTGATGTTGTAAATCTTAACTAGAGTTAACTGTTCATCTTAGTCCTGTGGAGCTTCTGGTAGATTCTAATAGCAAGAGGCTTGAGGTCTTTGAGTTAGCAACACAACTCTCAGACTAAGCCACCAGAGAGAGCTCCAGGCTCAGTTATATGGCTCACTCTTACTCATTGCTGTCAAGCCAGAACAAATTCAGGGTTGACCGTCCAATGGGTTACTGACCCGCCTGAAGAGTCTGCACACACCGGTGGATTCCAGCCACCAGAGAGAAGTGACCCCTGGATTAGCAGCACCACTCCCTACGGGCGATGCCCCCAAAGCGCCCTCTACTTAATACTCTCTATTATTATTATTATTTATTTGCTGTGTCATTCCTGCTTTTATTCTAACTTGCTGTTCTTTTACGTTTTCTCTATTATTTGGTATAATTTGGCAGGTTACTTTCTGGGGGCTGAATGTTCTCAAACATTTTCTCCCGTGAAAGAAGATTAATTGCTTCTTCATTTCGTGCCAATTTTGTTTTAAGAAAGGTTTCATTAAAACCTTTGGAAGAGCAGGAGAAACACATATTACAGGCTGGCAAACACCAACAGTAAGCACACTTTCCCAGGAAATCCACTGTTAACTTCTGCTACTCAGTGTCCCATTCTAGGAAGAAAGGACACCAAGCCTCGTGATTTGCAAGGGCTCTTCTCAAGGAGCCGGTGCTTGGTTCTGAATTCCTTTTGTCACACATGCTTTGCTTCCGTCTTCTATTTTCTCTAGGAGTTTCCATTATCTCCATGTGGGGGCAGCAAAGAACAGTAAATCCCAGATAGAGCATGCCAGGATATACTTTGTCACTGGTGGTGTTTGCTGTTCTATAGCGGACCCTTGAGATGGTCCTCAGAGGCAGTAAAATAGCACCGGAGGAGATTGCCCATCATTCTCTGACAGATTACCGCTAGGCCACCAGAGCTCACTTCATCTCTGAGGGAAGACTGCAAATGTCTGAAACATGAAAACATCTTTAAGCCCCTCCGACCACTTTCTTCCCGCTTTTCCTCCACGTCTTGGAGTCTTGGACTTCAGAGATATTGTCATTGTTGTTAGGTGTCAGTTAAGCCCATCACCACTCATAGCGATCCTATGAACAGCAGATCAGAACCTTGCCCTATCTTATGCCACCCTCTTGCCATGCTCAATTGTTGCAATCACTGCCTCAGTCAATCCATTGAGGGTCTTCCTTTCTTTCGCAGACCTTTCCTAGCATGTTTCCCAAGGACTCATTTTCCAAGGATGATAGGGTGGTATTAATAAGTTCAGAATTCTCTATACATGTATCAATTATAAAACTATGGTTATTTTTCTTCAGCCTACAAAACTAGTTACTTAGTCTCCAAATTCTGTTTCCTGTCTTTAGTCATGTAAAGTCGTTTGATCTGTCTGTTTACCAGAAGAGCAAATGCATCTCTCCTAGATCCTGGTGAAGCTGGTTCTCCAGTCATATATAAATTGTATCATAATTACCTTTTTTTTACTAACAAAAGTGCATTGTTAAATGAGCTGGAGTTTCACCCTAGTATAAAACCTGATGGCCACTCCCAGACGGGGAGGCAGACTTTGAGGCAGAGACCCACGGTCCTTCACAGATCTGTAATAAAGTGTTTATTGGCGATCGACTACAGAAAGCTTTTGGTAACAAGGACAGGTGCAAACTATGTGAAAAAGTTTCACCATCCTTGCCTCCAAGGAGCACCCTGGCTGTACTTCCTCCAAAACAGATTTATCTGTTTTTTTGCAGTCCCAACAACACAATTCAAAGGCATCAGTTTTTCGATCTTCCTATTCATTGTCCAGCTTGCAGTTGCATATAGAGCAAGTGAAAATACCATGGCTTGGATCAAGCATATCTGTCCCTAACCTGACATCCTTAGCATTGAGAAGCTATTTCCTATTTTGCTCCTTTAAAGTAAATCCTTGGGAGCTGTTTTCCCCAATGCCACACATACCTTGATTTCATGACTGCTTGTACCAGGAATGTTGATTGTGGATTCAAGTAAAGTGAAAAGTCATTGACAATTTCAATCTTTTTTCTCCAACTGTCATGATGTTGCCCATTATTGGTCCAAGGGTGAAGATTTTTGTTTTCTTAATGTTGAGATGTAAACACATGTTGAAGGCTGTGGCTTTATCTTCTTCAGGAAATGGTTTAAGTTTTCACTTTCTACAACCATTTACATTTCTCAGATTCTTATGAGACTTCCTCAAGTCCTGATGCTACAATCTTGAATTATTTAAGCATACAGATTGAACAGGTAGTGTGAAAGGATACAACCCTCATATACATCTTTCCTGATTTTAAACAACATGCAGTATTCTCTTGATCTGTTGGAACAACTGTTTCTTTGTCTACGTATAGTTTTCACATGGGCCCATTTAAGTGTTCTTGGATTCGCATTCTTCTCAATGTTCTCTATAACTTATGATAATCCACACAAATGGGTAAGGAGCTCTGGTGGCCTAGTGGTAAGAAACTGCAATACAATCTCAAAGACACAGGGTTTGAATCCACCAGCTGCTCTGTGGGAGAAACATGGGTAATCTCCTAGGGTACTATTTACTGCCTCTGAAACTGCACTGGAGGATCAGCTGTGAATCGGTTCCAACTTGATGGCTTGCAACAACACAACTGAATACCTTGGCATAGTTAATAGAACACAAGTAAACATTTTCCTGTATCTGTTCTCAGCCAAGATAAGATTCATCTAACACTGAAAATGATAGTCCTTGTTCCATAGCCTCTTCTGAACTCAGCTTGAATTTCTGATAGTTCTAGTAGGTTTTTTTTTTTTATAATCTTCAGTAGGATTTTAGTTACATGTGGTATTATTAATGATAGTTTTCCTAATTTCCTCACACTGTTGGATCACTTTTTTGGGGACCAGGTAGGAACAAATATTGTTCTCTTCCAGTTTGATGGCCAGGTAGCTGCCTTCCAAATTTCTTGGCATAGACTAATGGTTATGTCCAGGACTGCACCTGTTTTTTGAAAACACCTCAATTATTATTGTGTCAATTCCTAGAGCCTTCTTTTCTACCTGTGCCTTCAAGTGCAGCTTGGATTACTTCTTTCAGTATCATTGGCTTTTGATCATACTTTACTACCTGAACTGATTCAGTGTCAAACTATTCTTTTTGGTATAGTGAGTCTGTATAGTCTTCTCATCTTCCTTTGATGCTTCCTGCAACATTTAATATTTTGCCCATAGAATCCTCAAGTGTCGTGACTTAAGGCTTGACATTGTTCTTTAGCTTGTTCAGTTTAAAAAATGCAGTGTTCTTCCCTTTCTGTTTCCTAAATTCAGCTCTTTGTACATTTCATTTTACTTCTTTGCTTTGTCATCTCAAGCTATCCTTTTGTTTACTACATCGTTTCTTCCCTTATGCAAAGAAGTTTTGCTTTTTCTACATTGAAGAACAATTATCTTCTTCAAAGTGTCTTCTGATATCCATTTGACATTTTCTTTCTTCTGTCTATTATGACCTTTTGCTTTCTTCATGGATGAGGTCGTTAATGTCTTCCAAAACTCATCTAATCTTTGGTCATTAGTGCTCAATGCATCCATTCTTGAGGTAGTTTTAAAATTTAGGTAGGATACAGCCAATATTATATTTTGGTTCTCATGGATTTTTTTAAACATTCTTCAGATTCTATTTGAACTTGCAAATAAGTAGTTGATGGTTTGTTCCATTGTCAGCCCCTGGCCTTGTTTTGATTGCTGATATTGGGCTTCTCCACCATGTCTTTCCACAGATGTAGTTAATGGATTCCTGTGTATTCCATCAGGTGGGGGCCTATATATGTTTGTATTCTTTAAAAAAAAAAAAACCAAATCCAACAACCCAGATTTGCAATTAATAAATCATAGATCATACAAAATTCTACCGTTGAATCTCCAGCCTCATTTCTGTAGCTAAGGCCATATTTTCCTTTTCCATTGTTTTCAATTTCTGCATTGTAGTCACCACTTACACTTGATTACACGTTCGATCAACGTCACACTTCAAAAGTTGAAAGAAGTCCTCAATTTCTCCATCTTTGGCTTTAGTAGCTGGTGCATGTATTTGAAAGAATTGTATCACTTGTAGCATTGTGCTTCAGTAAGATATTAAAGTGTTCTCTTAAGTATGAATGTAACACCATTCATCTTCCATCTTAAATTCCTTGCCTGGTTGATCACATGACTGATTCAAAATGACCAATACCAGCCCATCTCCATCTCAACTCAGTCACATCCAAGATATTCATCTTCATGCATTCCATTTCATTTATTTTCAACAACTTCCAAATTTCCTAGATTCTTCATGTATTCCATTGTTGTTGTTGTTATGTGCCATCGAGTTGCTTGTGACTCATAGTGACCCTATATACAACAGTCCTAAACCCTGTTCTATCCTGTACCAATCGCACTGCCTCTGACACACTCATCCCAATTAACCCAGTCACTGAATCAATCCACCTCATAGAGAGTCTTCCCCTCCTGTGCCGTCCCTCCACCTTCCCAAGCATGATATCCCTTTTCAAGGACCTGTCCCTCCTTACAACATGTCCAAAGTACGTCAGACAAAGCTCCAGAATCCTTGCCTCCAAGGAGCAGCCTGGTTTAACCCTCTCCATGATGAATCTGTTTGTTTTCTTGGCAGTCCATGGTATATTCAATACTCTTCTCCAGCACCACAGCTCAAAGGCATCAATTCTCCTTCTATCCTCCCTAGTCATTGTCTAACTCTCTGATGCATAACAAGTAATTGCAAAGACCATGGCCTGTATCAAATGCATCTTAGTCTCCAGAGTGACACCATTGCTCTTCAGTACCCTGGAGAAGTCCCTAACTGCAGACTTTCCCATCACAATACATTTTTTGATTCCCTGGCTGCTGGTACCAAGAGTGTTGACTGTGGAGGCAAGCAAACTAAAGTTAAGAATCTCAATCCCTTCACCATCCATCCTAATGCTGCCAATTGGTCCAGTGGTGAGAATCTTTGTCTTCTTGACATAGAGCCTCAATCCATACTGAAGGCTGCAGTCCTTGACCCTCTGCAGCAAACACTTCAGATCCTCCTTAGTTTCAGCAAGTAGGGTTGTGTCATCTGCAT